GCAAGCTGCGTCGCTTGGCCGCAGGCTTCTCACAAGGGCTACTGCAGCAGCAGAGTTTCTACACGGATTTCTGTCGGCACTGAGAAGCAGGAGTTGGGTTAGGGTTTGGGAGAGAGGGTTTATGGTGAGAATCCCTCAACTCTAAACCCTTAGGAGGGAAAAAAACCGAAACCCTGAACCCGAAACGGCAAACCGAAGCCTCAACCCCGAAGCTGGCGTCCGGGGAAGCTTCTAAGGAAAGATGCTGGAGGCACATGAGTTCGAGTGCAAGGTTGGCCATCCGAAAGCTCTGTTTAGGGTTTAGGGACTAGGGGTTTAGGGACTAGAAGTTTAGGGGGAGTATCGGGAATTGCTTATGCTTCTATATTACAGCCCTTAAAGGGGTCCGGGTAGGAATTCAATGGGTGCTCCAATCTGTTGCGGCGTTTGTGTGTTACTGCGTTTGTCCAGCTCCTGTTGACTCTGGCCTGTTCTTTGTCAAGAGTTTTTGGTCTTCGTGGAGGTTGCGCTGGGCGATGTTTCAGAACGGCCGCAACAGAGAAACATGCAGACGCGACACCAGTGACCGGAAGTACTGTAATGCATTGGACCGGCTTTACAAGGCTTAGTCTGGTGCTATTGTTGAGACATTTTGAAGAACCTTTGAGACTCTACGGCTTCAACATGAGCATTGTCGAGATCGATTTTCGCGACAAGCGCGCTCGGAATCATGTCATCGCTACCCTGAATGCTGAAATGTGTGCTGGATCCATCTACAAAACCCGCAGACATTCCCAATTTGCCAAGAAGAAGTCAATAAACGTTCGACAGCCCCAGGAGCCTTAACCATCACAACCTTTTATATAACACCCCCCCCACCGCCCCCCCACACCAGAACCCATCAAACCCTCAACTTTGCATCCTCAACCCTCAGGGCCACACCTTAAATGCTAATCCCTTGAAAGCTCCCGAAGTCTAGGCTTTGAAGCCTGCCACCCTGTCCCTCCAACAGCGCCTGGCGATTCGTCTCTATACTGCAGAGGCAGCCCGAGGGTTTGCCAGGATTGAGGATTTAGGTCATTAGCTGGGATCTTGTTAAGGGATTTGATTTAACTTACCGTAGCAAGGAGACCTTAGTATTTTGTTTATCTTAGTATTTTGGTTATAACCCTATTATGCTATCTTAAAGTATGTAAATCCTTCAGAAGAACCCAGAAAGGGTCCTTACATCACGCCCTCAAGCCATGCTAGCCCGTGCCCTGAAAGGAAGTCTATGCTGGGTTTAACTTTAAGGTCCCCACAGGGGTTTTATGGTTTCGGGTTTAGTTGCTTAGAGTTTTGGGTTACAGGGGGTTTTGGGTTTTTTTGTGGTTTCAACGCCGGTTTTGGGGTTGAGGGTTTTCGAATTTGTCACGCTTGTGCCCGCTATGCTGCCTGTTCCCGGCAACTCTCAGCCTCAACCCGCCGATCTCTCACAAAACGGCCGAGCCGGTCATCTGCAACTAGGTCCCTGCTCTATGGGAACTCTGAGCTTCGGTGAAATAACAGGGGACACTGGGTACGATTGTGTTCAAGGCCAACCTGGCCAATCTAGTAATAATTCTCATGCTTGGCCATCCCTGAATAGCACCCTAGAATGCACATATCCCAAAAACCCTTTCCAACAGTTTCAGACCACTGTCTTGACAAAAAAAGCTGTAGGAAATTCAAATTCCCTTACGACGGCTTGTAATAAAAACACAGTTGAATCAACTCGTACAAAGCCCCATAAGCCCTGACAGACACGCTCCTCTGCCTGTTCCATAACCCCCCGAATGCTCAGGAGCCCGTCCCCATCTACAAGGCGGGTTGAGGGTTCAGGGGTGCAGGCTGGTTCCACTTTGTATTGAAATTCTTGTGGCTAGACCAGGGGTAGGAGTTCAGCAGTGAGCCCAGTAGGAGAAAGGTCAGGAGTTTGGCCGGTTTGGTGGGTTTGCACCGGGGTTTAGGAGTCCAAGAATTGGGGCTTTTGATTTGGAGCCATTGCCAGTGGTAGTTCAGCATATCAGCACATGAGAAACACCCGCCCCCAATCCGAAACTGCTTCGCAAGAGTAGAAATCTGAACACACTCTGAAAACTCCTCCTGCCATGTTGTTACAACCCTGAACAACCGCTTAAAATCACCACAGACGGTTGAGCTGTCTGAAAGAGTCGAGCTCCTACAGAAGCCCTGCCGAACCTCTGCTCTCTCTATAGAAGCCATATAGAAGCCCAGTAGTGCTCTTGACAGTACCCTTATGGTAATCCTTCCTGCTTTCAACTCGGAGCTCGATGAGCCGAAGATAGTGGCATCTGTCATCATGTTTTTTTTTCAGGGGGGGTTCCGGGCACAGCCTTTAGGGCTTCATAGGGTCATAGGGAACCTTACGGCTTAGATTTTACGGCCATCTTCTGTAGGAAATTGAGGGCATGTTGGGGTTCAGGGTTCAGGCATGAGACTCATCTTCTCTAGGGGCGAGCCGCAACGGTTTTCATATTGCATCTGAGATAGATAGTATCATTGTTAGCATGTTGGGTACTTCGCTGCTGGCCCCCTTATGGTTCAGCATCATTGCCGATACATCGAGAGGTTCGCTGAGTACCCCTGAGGTGCTGAATGCTCCGTTCCATTCGTCGTCGCGAAGCCCGAGCGCTATTGCTAACCAGGCGAGTCCAGCAATGAATGCAGCATGCAAGGCTGTTGATAGAAAATATGTGTTAAACAATTTTCTTCACATTGGTTTCCTTTTCTATAAAAGCAGACTATGTGCATTTTGTGCTTCTTTGCATTTCAGCTGGTTCTTTGCCAGAGTGGCCTGTGGCATGTCGATGTACTGATGATCTTTAGGGGTGATGATTAGGACGGCTTGGTGGACGATCGCAAAAACTCAAGTACCACTATGATGGAAAGGCGCTTCCTGCCCATATAGGTGATCTCTCGCTCAGTTTTTGGTCGGAGCTGTGTGTCCTTATCAGCATTTTTGTTGGAAGGGAAGTTCGAAGCGCTTTGAGCTTCAAACGGCCGGTGTGTAACCTCCAACAAAAGGATCTGAACATGTAGCACCAAATCTGACAAACAGGTCCCGACAATGGGAGCAGGGTTTGGGGTTAAGGCTGTGGATCCGAGTCTGAGCTAACAAAAGGACTGGGTTAACGTCAGTTGAGCATTTAGGTTTGGGTTAGGATTAGGCTTCACGTTTTACAACTAGAGTTTATTGCATCAGTGCTTGCCTGTCGGCCACAGTCTAGCTGATTGCAAGACCGTGGTGTGGCTGAGTCCAGTAGCGGCAAGGGTTGGCCTGTACCCGAAATGCTGTTTGGTGTTTAAGTTTTCACATACCCTCAACACTGCGGCTGCGTGATGCTACGATAAGAAGCCTCTCATGCGCAGCAGGACTTACGGCGAGAGTCCATGCTCTGATATGACAAAGGCCCCAAATTACTCGCAGATTATAGTCTGTGCAACAACCTTAGCACTATTGGTGTCCCCTTCGTCTTACTGCAACTCAGTCAGCTTGATTATTCGTACTAGTATTCTCCTACAAATCCTACAAATACGAGCCTTGAGAGCCTTTTTTCCCGATCCTGGCCTCATTGTCCGACCCTGTGCGAAAGCATCTGCTGCAAGGCTCCCTTTCTCAAAGTCATGGCTCAGGCCACCGAGCCCGGGTCCGGTTCCTACCCAGAATTTCGGGAGGATCCAAAAAGTAGATCCCTTAATGGGGGTTCTTATAAAGTACCCTTAGTAGTGTAACCTGTAGAGCCCCAAATTATTAGGGAATCTACTTTCTGGATCCTCCCAGGGGTCGTCGGTATGAGGGTTGAGGGCTTAAGCAGTTTTTCAGAGCTTTGGGTTAAAGAAAGGTTTTAGGGTTTTCAAGCGTCCTACTGAGAGTTTGAGGGTTCAGGAGGGCGAAATCTGTCACGATGGCTTGCGGTTATGATTGGTTTCCACCGAAACATTGCTCCACCGTCATAGGCCGCGTGTTTGTCGCATGAAACGCAGGCCATGAGTTTCATGAGCACAGTGGCATCAGATTTCTGGTTTGACATTAGCCCTGGGATTGAAAGTTGAAGCCCGAAATCGTGGCAGTGATCTGGGTAATTAGGAGCTGCAGCAGGCAATATGCAAGGAAGTTAGACTCGGAAAGAGAGGGAGAAGCTACCAGAGTTCCCGTAAGCGTATCCACGTCCCGAGAAGTCTGGTGCATCAGTGGTTAGTATGGGTCGATGAGGGTGGGATAGAAGGGGAAGAGACTTGAAGCAGCCCGCCCCCTGCAGCAGGCAGTCAGAGCATTGACGAAAGCTGGAAAGGCTTACAGCTACAGCGGACCTGCTTACCGTGGGATCAAAGTCGCGAAGAGCCCGCTGCTGAAGAAGAAGTATACGATCGGAACTCAGCTGATTGCGGTCTCGTCTGCGCTTTCGCCACATGTACACTGAGCCAAGTTCGTTAGCCGATTTCCGGGAAACAAGTCCGACCTTGGAAAGCAGCGCGCATGTTGCACAACTGTCACAAGCTCCCATCCTTCGGTCTTCAGATGGCGATGCTGATGTTGGCGGCGATGGCAGCAGATTAGCACCTGATGTTTGGTGAGGGTGGTCATCATCACCCAGGTGATGTTGATGAAATGTGATGATGTCATCGTCATCAGCTCACCATAGGCATATTCAACAATTCTTAATAGTGGTCCTCACCGGCAGCGGGAAAGTCTCATTCGACCAGCTTGACACAACTCGCATCACCGCATTCCCTATCGAAAGCCCTGCCTTGGTGTCCAGGTAGTTCCTTTTTGGGGTTCATATTTGGAAGTCTATAAGGTAATCCCAAAAGGAACTACCATGGGGCCTATGGGTAATGCAATGGTTTATTTCTGGATAGTAATTAAGCAATGACTTGATTTCGATAGTGGTTGGTTATCTACTTCAGCAAGAGAAGTTGGTGAAATAACGATACATGTGGGGAAGGCAGGTCATTTGACAGAAATCGTGGCAACCGTCATGTGGCGCATCAGCACGAACGACATAGCACAGAGGCCCTATTCCTCAAGAGTTCCTTATTACTTTGAATGTATATACCATCATGGACTCCAGTACCTTATTCTAAGCTGCCAGACTACCACCAAGGAACTACCGCGACACCTTCAAAGTCGGCAGTCGGGTGACGTTCGCTGCCTATACCAGCGTGTCGCTGTCCGACAGCACCGCCGAAAGCTTTGGCGACCGCATCCTCTTTCAGGCTGCCTCAGGGGAGTTGAGGGTTCAGGGTTTGGGACTTAGGGTGTAGGTATAATGCTTTTACACGTCTTGGGATCAGGAGCCTATTTGACACTTGCGGTTCAGAACAACAAGGCCTGTGATGACATGGGTAGATGCCAGGTGTGACGATCTTTGCCGAGTCCATTCTTCGAGTCGCCCTTCAAGCTCAAATTTCGACCCAAGAAAGAACCGAATCTTCGACCACACGCTCTGAAGTGATGGCCAAGACACAGAACCATAAACCTTGAAACATCATGTGCCACAGTTCCTCACAACCATGGCATGAAGCACGAAGCACCCTGGAACGAACAACTTGGCTTCGGATCGCAAAGTGCAGGTAAGGTTTTTTTCGGATTTGCGGTGTTCGGGTCTGGGGTTGAAATTTTGTTTTAGGGATCAGAGCACTTGTTTTCTGGGGTGATATATAGTATAAACACCCACATGATTGCCGAAGGATTTCTGTAGGAAAGCACTATGCCACTATGTTTACGGTGCCGTAGTAACAGCTCACGAACAAGTGTTCTATCGACGCAGAACTTGGAGTCTTAGGTGTACGGTCTAGGAGTTTAGGGTTTGGGGTTTATCTCTGGTTTTAGGGCAAGGTTTCTATGACTTTTGGAGTTTCTGGTGTGCGCTGCATAGTTTGGTAAGGCAGTTTCCCCATCATTGTTGATACTGCTAAAGGCACGCATTGCTCCTTTTGATTTCATTCTGCATGCTTCAAATCCAAGTTTTGATGTGGAAGCCGGTTTTGCCCATATGCGAGAGGGAGAGTGGAAACCCTCAACACCTTGATTCATTGATACTCTCCTCAAACCCTCAACACCCCGCACGTTTACGAACTGGAGATTACGTGCTTTCAGGGTTTCTTGTTCAGGCAGAAAATACCGAAATCCCGAACCCGGCAAGCCCTTAACCTCCAGTTCACCAACGTGCGCGGCGTCCGCATTGCAGAGTTCTCCGCTATCCCATCAGAGCTCGAGCTCTGCCCGTGCTTGGAACGGGGAGGGCTTGGGGTTAAGGCTTTGTCCGACCTCGTTTCCAAAAAGGTCTGTCAGAGTTTGGGTTTGGGGTTGAGGTCATTTCATGTTGATGGTGTGGGCTTTAGGTTGAGTTGTGTGGGCTTTGAGTTTGGCGTATGGGCGCTTGGGTTTCGGGGTTTTGGGTTGAAAGTGTTTCTGGGGTTAGGTTCTGCGTTTTGAGTTTTTGGGCGTGTGGGTTTAGGCTGACGTTCCGTCAATGGAAATCCCCGGCTAGGAAAGCGGCAGCCTGGCCGAAGAATGAAATCCCCCGGGTAGCCTACACCCGAAGCCCTGATCCCAAACCGTAAACTAAAAGAGCTTCTTCAAAGGCCTCTCTACCATCCTTCAACGTCCAGGTATAGATTATGAGCAGACGGATGTGTTTTAGTAAAAACACTCCCCGCGGCTCTGGCCCCGGTCCCTAAGCCCTTGAACCCCGGACCTTAACCCTATCCCTCCATGCCCCAGCTCTACTGTTTTTGTAGGTTCTAACCCCATGACGCGCTGAACAGCAAACCCTAAGCTCTGAGTGAGTATATACGCCCTAAGTCACCAAATCCTAAACCCAAAAGAACCCCACCCCCCAATCAGCCCCTTTAGTAGCCCATGAAGAGAAGGAGATTCTGGTCGAGCCGCCTGCCGTCTTCGAGGTGAAACAGCTGTTCTGGATTGTCCAGTGGCTTAGGGTTTAGGGTTGCTCCTCATGATTATGTTCTTGGCTTCTTATTGGATTCTTCCTCAAGTTGGGTCGCTGAAAAGCCTAGGTTCGATGTGAATCTCCACTCTATTTCCGAATGAAGCGCAACGCAATGATGCTGCTGATGCCTTTCGTCTTGGGCGTTTAGGGGACGAGACAGCAGGGCGATGATGCTGATGACGCTGTGGCCTGTGCTGGTTTGCAAGGACATGAGATGTCTAATTAGATAAGGCGTTTTGATAACATTACGGTGTCTCTACAAGGGACGGTAGTAGGGGCATAGTCTGAAATGCTCGTGCTTGTCATGCTCCAATCAGTATGAAGCTTGCCTTCAGTTTGCTTCTGCTTCGGAGGCCCTTGGTCAGGGGCCTTGGCACTTTTGGCAGGTCATGCCAGGAGCATCGAAGTGATGACGGCATCTCCAGTGACCTGCGTCGAAGCGACGATGTCTGTTACGCTGCTTCGTTTTGCTGCCTGTTACTCCTAATATTGAATAAACAGGCGACGAGCGGCTTTTCCTCGATTCGGTTCGCCGCAACCATTGACCCTGCAATGTGTGACCTTGATGATTTTTTTTGGCGTTCCCACTCTGGTCTTTCTGGACTCTAGATGTTTTGAGGGCAAAAGACAGAAGTCACTCAGTTGCTGCCACATGGCGTCAGCTCGACTGCGGTGTCTGATGTCGATTTTTCTGTCTCGCCACATGTTGCAACGGTTCAGAGCGCAGGTGAGGAGCTGCGCAAAGTTCCATGGCGTTTTGTGCCTTTGCTACTTCCAGGGGCAGTTGGCATGCTTCCAGATGTTAATCACTTAGCTGCTGATCTGTACAGGGCGTTGCATAGCTGACAGGTCAAGATCGATATCCACTTACATAGTGCATTCCGTTCAGGAGCTGGACTCTGGTTTCGTGGGATATAGACCTGTGGCGTGAAGCTTCATGCTTCATGTCAGAATGCCTTGGGATGTTGGGTTGCTTTCGAAAAATTCGGGACACCTGATGCCGGGATTCTTGCCATCAGGATGCAATTGTGTGGGAAGTAAGCGTTGATATGGGAGTTTCCGAAATCTGGGGCACCTTCTTTTTACTAAGAGTCCTATTATCCAGGCTACTATTTTAGGGTCCCTTATTTTCGGAAACTCCCATTGTGCCATTTGGGGTCCTTCATGTTCCAAAACTCCGGGATGGGTGGCTGCTCTGAAGGTCTTGAGTCGCCAAGGCTTGCAGACTTTTCCCCAAAGCTGGGCTTGTATCATTAATTGTTCAGGGTTTAGGGGTTAGGGGCTAGGGTTTAGGGTTTAGGGGTGATTGTTTGGGGTTTAGGGTGTATCATTGAATGCTTGTAACACTTCAAGGCAGCTTGAAATCAGACTCGTGCCCTACACCAAGACCCAACAAACAAACAATGTAGGGGTGGGACTAATTAGTTTTACTCTCCCATGGTCCCGACTACTATAATGAATCTCGCGTAAAACCCGAAGATCCCAGAGAACTGCTGCTCGCCGAGGAGTGTGGTACTGGAGTCAGTCGACTCTCCGATGAAGTATCTGTAGCCGCCTGAAGGGATGCAGGAGCAATCAGAAGTACTACCAATGCATTGGGTACGGCCCCCACTCAGTAATAGTTGAATAATATTCATACTATAGATATAGTAGGACCCTAATAGTAGCCCTACTATAGACTCTTACTGTGTGGGGGCCGTATCTAACCAATGCATCTTTGCACTTAAACGTCATTGACCATTGCCCCGAAATCTTCAAACGAGCAACAGGTGCTCCTAGATTGAGCAGTGAAAGTCTGTCACCAGAGGTTAGATATTCTCGTCCCATTCGCAACTATCTGGGCTGGGAATGCGAGTTGCCGCTTGACAGGCGGATGTACAGTGTTTTTCACACCGTAGGACGAAGGTCGGGTAGGGCGTGGCTCGGGTGTGGCGAACTATCAAAAGTAAGAGTGGTCGTAGGATTAACACGGCGAGGGACACTCGAAGATTCATGTCAAACTCTGAACCCCCTACCTACAGTTTCCAGCCCAACCTCTAAACCCGAAGCATGAGTCTATAAATCCCTTGCGGCCAATCCGAGACTAGACAACAGTAGAGGCTCCCGAGTTTCCGCCAAGAAGCCTGCCTCAGGAAGTTGAAGCCACGTAGGCTTCCCAAAGCATCTCCCGTTTCTGGAGGTCGGGTTTAAGCTGATTTGCCAAAGCCTGGATCAACATCGCTACCCTCGCTGTCATCGAGAAGACCTCCTATGTCCGACCCTAAACACTAAGCCCTAAACCCTAAACCCCTCGTCAGGCTTGTCCGAGTTGCGAGAGCGCAAACTCCCTGCAATCCGGGCTTCGTCAGTGCTAGGTAGGAGGGAAAAAACCTTAAACCCCTAAACCACAAAGCAAGCCCACTCCCTGGCTGACCTTCACTTAAAACGAAGGGGGACTTGGACCGTGAAGATACAGCGGATGGACCACACCCTGGTTTACTTTACGACCCCCTACTTATTTTTATAAGGAGTATGGTATATTTTTTCATGAAAACACATGTTTACTTGAAGATCCCTTACTTAATGTTAAGGTGTATGGTATATTTTCCATTCTGGGGACTGCAGGATCGTGTCCATTGGCTGTACGGCATTTCCGATGCCTGTCGGGCAAGCTGATGGCAGTCGGAGGGATGCAGCGCCAAAAAAGACTAAATAGGGTTTAGGGTTTAGGAAATCTGGATGTCCTTCCACCGGAAGCATGCAATCTGCTTGTTTTTGTTTTAAACCTTTTTCTTGCCCAAGAACCTATTTGCGCCTACTTGGCCCTAAACCGTGAGCCCGAATCACTAGAGTCACCAGGTTGACAGGTCTGCATCACTAGTTCAATGTCTATAGGGTTTAAAAACTCAGGACCTTTCAGGTCTTTGTCCTAGATCTGAATTCCTGCCGTAGGGTTTTGGGTTTCGGCTTTGATGTTCAGGGCTACTTGGGCTTGCCTGGAGGCTCATCGACTGCATCTACTGCAGCATCCACTCCGAAATGCTGGGGACCTACTCTGCAAAGGGAAGCGCAGCTTGTGCCACCACTAAGTGGAGAACCGTTGATATGAGTTGTTATGAGTTGTGACTCTTACCATCATCAGCACAGACGCCATAAGCGCCTCTTTGCTCATAATGGCCATCCTCAGCATCTTAATTAGCCATCCTCACCGTCTCATTGTAAGAGCTCAGCAATGGCTCATACTCGTTTTCCTTTAGAACTTAAGCTTCATCATCGCTACCACCGCACCATCTTCGCAAGCATCTTGAACTTTTGGTTGTGCATCGTTGTCTTTTCATCGCTTCCACCGCCACCGAAGTCGCCACGATTTGGTCGTAGACCGCCAGTCAGCATCATCAGCAGCAGCACCGTCACCTCCTTAACCGTCACCTTCATTTGTGTAACCATCGCCATGTCATCATCGCTACCGAGTTTTAACTATCACCACCGTAGTCCTGTGCGTATCTCGGGGTCCGGGTCATAGTCCAAGCTCAGGTTCCTCCGGGTGCTATCTAACCCCCGCACAGGGAAGTCGAAGTTAGAGCAGTGTAGAAGCCTAAATAACAAGCCTGACTTGTGGTTTCAGGGTTCCTTGCTAAAGGTAGGAGAGCAAGCCACCCAAGACCCCATTCTGATTTGAAAGGCCCCTTAAATCTAAAACTGTGATTTCCTCGCACTCCCAGTGTGACGGCTTCCCCTCGAATTCTCATCTCAGTCCATCCGTTTGGCCCAGACTTTGCTATTCCGGATAGGTGAGTCGGGTGATTATAGGAGCTTCTGCAACCAGAACAGGTTTTTACCTCGCTTTTTGACGTGCTATTGCAACAACGGCTGAATAACTACGGAATACCACTGCAAGTGCTACCATTGCCATCCAGTTTTCTCTAGCAAACGGTCTAAGTACTACCAACGCAACCCAAAGCCCTACACCCCAAACCCCGAAAGAAGGCTGTGAATCTCAAGCCCGGAATCCCAACTTCCAAGCCCGACAAAGCCTTAGATCCTAAGCAATAGGAGCCTCAACACGAAAATCATTCAATTGTGGCTCTCCAGGCAAGTCGTTCTTTCGTGCACAAACCTTGGGCTCCCTCGTGGCAAAGTCAGGAGCAGCAGCGCAGCGGCAAAGAGGCTACCGTATGTTTCGGAATTTCTTGCATGTAGCAGCCTGCCACCGCTGTAAGTTACCCATGGTACGGACATACATAGGGCAGAACCTGGGTTGAGGGGTTGGGGTCGAGGCATTTAGGTTTCAGACTAGTCCCCGGTTTCAGTGCAGGTCGCCTTACCTGATAGTAGGGTGGGCATCCTTTAACTGTTTTGGGGTACTACAACCTAGAATCCCTATATATTCCCAAAGGTTAACCTTTAGTGACCCTAGGATACCGGCTCGAACTTGCAGCTCGTCCGAGCGACGAGAACCGCGAAGCAAGATCGTAGTTGGAAGGGCTTCTAGTTCCTAAGCCCTACCTATCGTCTCCATTGTTGTTCAGTTTGGTTAACCAGTCTTATGGAGGCTATAGGTAAACCACATTGTAAGTTCCTTAAACCAATGAACCCTGAGCTCTCGTGCGCTCTACAACTCTCGCATCGGACCCCAAATTCTGGTCACAGACGCCGATTCTTATAATGTGGAGTCGCTTCAGTTTGGTAGTGTGAACTTGGTCATGGTGCTTGTCGGTAGCCTCTCCTTTGCGACTAGTTTTATTTATTACTTGTTAATGTAGCCCCCGACCAATGAATCCGCCTTGGATTGAATCGGACTGTAAGGGGTCTACACAGAGTCTACATTAACCTGGAGCCAGTGCTTGGTTTGCCGGTGAGAGTTGCCACACTTCACACTGCAACACACTGACGTCGACCCTCTGCAGATGCCTCGCCTGGCGTAGTTGGGTGTGAACCCAAGCTATACGTAGAGGTCTGAGCAAGTAGTGCCAGTAACCATAGGCCCGTTATAGTCCTTTAGCAACCACTACTGATTGCACTACAACACTGCGAAACTAAAGACTACTACTGAACTACCTAGGACCCTTTATTCGCGCATCTGAACCTAAACCGTTACGGTAGCCCTTCTAGAATTCTAGAAACCTTGATCACTGAATGCCACACAGAGGTCTTTCAGCCATCCTTGCCGCCAATTCTGAAAGTGACGGTCGACGCGCAGTTCGATGCCGGCATCAAGATCCAGGCCAGGATTCGTTTGCTTAGGGTTTGGGGTTTGGGGTTTGTTCAGTTTTCGAAAATTGGTAGCTTTTGAGCTTGAAGCCAAAACCCTGAACTCCCCAAGCCTCAGCCCCAGCCTTTCTACAAATTCGGGATTCGAAAGGCCAGCCGTGCCTTCGCTTCTTCTACGATGCACCCGAAATCTCGAAGTTGTTGCCATTTTCAAGAAGTCGCCACCGTCTACACCCCTTCACACGGCCCGGATGCCGATGACAGCTGTTGTCGAGGGAAGATAAGTAAAACTCCATCGCATTATGTATCTCACAACACCCAAAGCTTTCTACCGCAGAACCAATAAATTTCGACTTCGTTGCGGCCAAAACCTGAAGCCTTGAGTCCAGGTTCTTCGCCAAGGTCTTCATTCTCCTCATCACCCAACCTAGATTTTCATCCTCATACCCCAAGGCCCACTACAGAATTCCTGAAGTCATAGCCCCCCAACAGCCCACCCTAGCCGAGACCCTGAACCCCAAGTCCCAAAGCCCAGTTTTCCAGAGGTTCCTAAACTACCCAAAGGCCTAAACCCAAAACCCCAAGCTTTCGAAATCTGGCTCGGAGTGTGAAGCGTCGCAGTAGTCCACTGTTCTTCGGAGTTACCCTGCAATGCGGTCTTGTCCTTGCTAGGTAGGAAGCAAATAACAGCATTCCGAAAGCCCAGTATAGCATGTGAAAGCCCCCAAACGACAGCCCTTCTGTCTTGATCTTGTTCCCAAGGTTGGCGGAGGGAAGCACGAGGAACGGTCTGGCTTTGCGTGCATAACATCGTGGCCTCAACAAGACAATTCCCGAGGGTTCAACGATATCAATATTCTAGGATGCTCCTAGTCGGGGCCTCAAGAGTGCTTATCGTATAGGCATGTCTAATTGCCCCGAAGCCTTGTTGAACATATTCATGCCCTATACTGCAGTAGCTAGTCGCAGGCTTTAAGGGTTTAGGGTGTCGAGGCTAATGTAGGTCTATTGAGTGTTCGATTTTGTAGTCCTTAGGGGTGCATGTAGGGTGCAGGGGTGAATGGAAGTTTTGGGGTTTAAGGTTTCTACGCTTTTGGGTGGTTTTAGAGTGCAGGCTCGAGTCTAGGTCTAAGCTTCAGCTTCAAAGGGAGGTGGGATTGAGGGATTTGTAGACTGTAGCGGTTCAGGAATTGAGTATGTCGTAAGATGATGCAATATGAGGCTCTGTGTGAGGTGTCAGGTGTTTATCCCAGAGATTAATCTAGGGGCCTTAACAAATTAGAGTAGGGCTTGGTGGCCCATTATACTATACATAAAGTCAGGCCCCCCGCCCCCCCCCCCCCCAAAAAAAAAATAGTATAAGCATTGTTCAACCCCCTACATTAGGATTACTTCTTGCTTGGATCGAAGGGCTTAAAGGTGTGTTTGCTGCAGCTTGGGGTCCCTGGGCCTTCCTAAAGTTCTTCAAGTTCAGGGGCTCCGGGGAGCCTCATCTTGGTTTAGGGTTTTAGGGTTTACCGTGCGGCTGTCCACGAGAGAGCGAGAGAGGGTTTAGGGTTTAGGGTTGCGACTGTGTGGGACCGTGAGGGCAACACCATGGCACTAGCAGTGTCCGAGAACGACATTGCTCACGTGGCGAGCCAGCTGCGTAGATCGTCGAAGATAGTTTGCGTAATGGAAGCAACTTTAAGTCCCGGTGACCCGGGATCGTTACCAACATTATTCTTTGCGCACTGTTTTCGTAATTGCATTGTTTTATATTCCCAACACTCTTCAATAAGTGTTGTGGTTTGCCACAACCATAAGATTTGAGTCTATGACTACTGCGACGAACAGTGTAGCTCCGTTAGCTTCAGTAAGCTGCCGGTTGTCTCCCCGATGTGTTTTAATGCACGTGGGTTCAGCACCCAACGTCCTACCATGTGTTTGAAAATTTGGTATACTGCTGTTGTTTGAATTTGTTATGATCATTATGGTCCCTGTCGCGACTTCCACATTGTTTATTGATCCTGGAATGCTGTCGCTTCATTCGTTCTCCTTTGAGCTTTTCTTCTTGAGCCACCCCCGCCCACACCCCTGACAATCCTGAACCACCTTAACCATAAAATCATAAAGCCCTGATCTTCAAATCTCAAGACCTACCGCAAGTGCAGAAGAGACTCCAAATTCTGGAAGGTTCCATGTAAGCCTTGATAGATCCCTTCACAAAAACAGGATTGCTGGGTTTCCCTGTTCCCTCTTGATAATAGCCGCCAGTGCCCCTTCCAGTAGCTCCCTTAGAGGAACCCCTTTTGACAGAGCCATGTCCTAAAACAAACCTGTAATAGAAACCTTCAAAAACCCTAAACCCTAAACCCTAAACCGAAACCTTCAAACGTAAACGCAAGGGATCTCGGAGTCTCCAGAAAGTTTGCAGGGCAGCGGGCTCCCCGATGTCTGCAAAGCGGGCAAGACGCCAGGGTCTTGGTCAGCCTGTGGCTGAAGGACAGGTTGTTTATGAAATTCCGTGCTTTGTGTAAGGGCAGTGTTTTCGTTTGTTGTTTATGGTTTCTGATAGGGACAAGGGTTGAAGAACAATCAACACTTGCAGCCCCCTCGAGTCCTTGTAGCACGACACTACGATACACGCCAAAATCCAATTCTATCCATCTCCACTTGCTCAAGACCCTAGATTATCAGGTCTTGACAAGGGCGGCTTGGGTAGGCGGCCGAATCGTAAACCTTGGACTCTAACTTTGGGGGTTTTGGGTTGGACCGACACCTGAACCCAACACCCACCCATGATCCAAAAGGAGTGCTAGTTATTCAGGCGCCTATCCAAACCTCTTAGAAATCTCAGAACCTTCTAAAAGCCCGCTTGTAACACGATGTAAAACACCCCTCGAACCCCAGATAAAGGTTTCAAACGTTCATAATGCTCTTTGCCGTTAGCTGTGATTTCAGGCCCCCAAAAACCGCCCCTCGAAATCAAGAAAGCCCACTCAAGCCGTATTCAAACATTCAGAAGGCCTCCTCTGTCAAGCATTCATAGCGGTGGGGACCTGGGCTTCCACCCATGACCCTCGCAAAAGAGCTCTGTTGGGTTTGTTTCGGGTTTCGGTAGGTATCAGGTTCTTACCAGCTTTCGCAGAGGATAGCCCTCAGGAATTATCAACAGCACGTAGGTTTATCCAAGGGGTCAAAGCAGCAGGTTAAATTTGGGTCGAACGGGCTTGTGGCATAGTTTGAGGATTGAAGACAGGTCCTGCCCGCCCTGGCCTTTGAATCTTAGCACCTGATCGGGCGTGCAGCATGCCGATTACAAACAAAACACCAAAGGGTGCTGGATGTTTATATTATGGGCCAGGGTCGGATGTCGCTCAGCTGCCAACCGTCAGATGTTCGTCCGAAACCGCCGGCCGCAAAGGTTCCAAGATCAGCTCCAAGCCTTGTAGGGTTTGTTGCAAGAGATGGCAGTCCTTTTTGCAAGCGCTATTGTTGTTCTATTGGTCGCGTTCCACATCACCGTGATCGGAGTGCAAGTCAAGGGCCATGCCCATACGCTGGCCACCGTGTTCCAGAAGGTGCACACTTTCTTTCTGCCGCTTCGGGATCCGAGGTTGGATAACAAGTTCGAAGAGCTGACAATAACACTTTATTCCTGGGCCGCACGAACCTTTATTCATGCTGAGATGTGTATCTTGGCCACGCTTCTGTTCTATGCCTGCTTAGCTCCAACCCTGTGCTCCGTGTCACGGGTGCTACTTTTCGGCCTTGTCTATGCGAACAGTTTGGAGATCATTTGGAAGAGATCCCATCTGACCCTCTGGAGGACACGAACGATGTATTTTTCAGTGATGGCAATTATCTTTGTTCGCTCTTTGCTCGCAGCTTGGAGCGATGTTCAACACAGTGGCTTCGACCAGCTGGACTTGGTGATTGCAATTGGTTGTGGAGTGGCCTCCCTATCTTGCAGGATTGCCGTCCTTCCCTTGGTCATGGTTTTTATTGCTGACACGTGGAGCCAAAGCATGGTTCATGGCTCCAGCTTGTTCGACACCCTCCTTACCAATGGTCAGCGGTGCTTGTGTACAATATCTCTCGTCGTACTAGTCGAACAGCTGGCTCGAGTTATGATTGTGTCTGAACTTGACGCGCACGAAGCTCTGGAGGCCTTCAGAGGTATCGTTCGATGGTCGATGGATGCAGACGTGATGCTTGATAGCCAGTTCCAGATCCGAGACCGACCAACGAGATTGGAGTTGCTTCTTCACCGCCAGGATGAAATGACGGGGATGTCCTTTCTGGATTTGCTTTCAGACGACACCGCCGCCCATGAGTTCCTCAACCTAGGCCAAAAGAGCATCGAACAAGCCACCTCTGACAAGAAGGTCGCCCCAGTAGCTCGCTTGGGCTTGAAACGGGAAACTGGTGGCCTGGTTCGAGGGGACATTTGCATGGTCCATATTCCTGACAGGTTGGGGCAGGGAAGTCGCTACCTTCTTGGCTTCGTCGAAGACCCCGAAGCCTCCGGCGTGCAGCCCTGCGATGCGCGCCTCTCTGTGGACCGGGCGGCAGTTGCAAAGTCAGCGCGCCGTTTTCGCTTGGCTTCCTCTGCCTCGGCATCTTCTTCACAAAGCAACAAGAAGGACCCTCCGATTTCGCTAACATCTTGCCGGGAGATTGTCGACGTCAGCTTATTCCTGGATGGGCAGACCGAGTGGTTCGACATCAAGGAGGCCAGGATGCGGTTTACACGGTTCGAAGACCGAGAATCGGGGATGCCGACTCTCAAGCACGTGGTGCTTCCGTCGGAGTGGCAGTCAACATTGCCCGAATTGCAGCAGGCTGTGTGGAGCACGCTCGGTCCGGATATGGGGTTCGTCCCACAGGGCCTTGGTCCTTTGCATCTTCGCATGCCAGGGATCCTGGCAGAGGGAAATGATGGAGACTTGTCTCTTTTTGCCAGAAGCTCGCAGCTAAGACTCGTGCAGGGGGCCAACATCAACCAAACTCAAGACGGATGGAACCTCTCGGTGCAGCCCGTCTATCTCTGCCTGCAGCTCTACAACTTCGCGCAGCTGGACCATCGCGGCCGCCCTGTAGAGCTTGGGGCCGTTTCTGAGTTCAGCTCCATGCAGTCAGAAGAGCCGGGGCATTGAACGAAAGCTCAGTACCCAACGCAACCTAGGCTGATGCCTGAGGCATAACAGCCATTTTCTCAAGTCGAGTCTTCTGCTCGTGGTCAAACTAGTAGTCTTCGGATTGCCACTGCTGTACTGTTGTATAGGATGATAGGTTGACTTACTTAGATAGCCAATGGGGGAACTTTAAACTTTTTGGCCTTATATATTTGGTCGATCTTAGAAAGTTTAAACTGTTTTGGGCCCGGTTATTGAAGGAGAGAGCTTAAGTTCCTTAAGAAGAACCACTGGTTGGGAGCACAGTTGTTTTTTTCTCAGCTTGAAGCCTCCACGGCCCTGCCCAAACATTCGGGATGATGTCCTCGATCTCGACCCTAAGTCACCCTAAACCCCTTAACATCATTGAACAGGTTAGCTTGGTAGGTGTCTGATTGTATTGAGCCTCTTGCCGTTTGTTGTGCAATGGTCTTTGCTCTGTGGGTAGCAGTGGAGTTCCAATGGACTATGCAAAGCCTTGCCTGCCTGGAGCGAGTGTGAGCGTCGAAACCCTCGACCTAAGCCGTAAACCGTAACCCTAAATCCGAAGCCTCACAACCCCAACCCAAAACCCTAAACCCTAAAGCCCCAATTCCCTTCCCCTCCTAACCTTTAACCCCTCCTAAACATAACCGTAGTAAACCGTAACCCTTAAATCCGAAGCCTCACAACCCCTCCTAAACATCCGGATAAATGTCACTTGCTTCAAGGTCCACAGCGACCTACCTCTCCAACTCTGCCGGAAGTCTTGGAGATGGACTTAAGGTGTAAACTTTTGCAGGTTTAGGATTTAGGAGTTAGGAAGTTGTAGGGCTTTAGGGTAAGTGTTTGGGTGAGAGTTCGTTGATTCATGAGAAAGGCTCAAGGCTTTCGGGGCTGGGGGTTCAGGGTCTGGCTGTACAATGACATACGGGTTGCGAGTTGATGTGTATTATTATTGCATCGGAGAAGAGCAGATCGGTCCTTGATTGTCGTTCTTTCTTCAGGCAGCACCTTTCCCATTAAGCCTTAAAACTAAACCTTAGACCCAGGATTGCCATGGTACCTTCATTCGAACCGCTAAGAATGGTTGGCTGGCGTCCTGCGATATTGAATACAAGGGCGGGCCAACGCGAATGTGACCCAAGGAACAATGTCAAATCCAGGTGCCCTCGCTTGCATCCGGTTGACCCGTTTCTTGGAAAAGGCATGCACATCGCGTAAGCGACGTAACCACCGCAACATGCTGCCGAGCGGAACATGCTTGCCGCGGAGAGACATAGACACTATCACGCACACAGACACACACACAGACCCGTATGCTGTTGCTACTGACTGCTACTGCTATAGCTCCGCAACAATTCTTCTCGTGCACTTTGCGTCAGGGACCCCTGTAGACGCCAGAACCGTTTAAATCCATAGTTAGGACCCTGCTCCAATCCCAATCCCAATGCAGGAGCCTGAAAGTGTAGCAATGGTACAATTGTCGCCCTTGTATCAAGCCCTACTTTAATTACGAAGGCCACCGTGGTAGACTTCTACAACACCCGAACGGACCTTTGAAACCATATCTGAAAACGCCCAGCGGAACCCTCTTAAAGGCCCTTTTGATTTTTGAAATCCCTAGATCCATTATAGACAATATATATAACCATGTAGAACCACTATCACCCCCTCTCCACAAGCCTTCAAAACCCTACAACCTAATTACACCCACAAGCCTTCAAAACCCTAAACCCTAATTACACCCCAAGAGATCCAAACCCCTACGCCCCAAAACCCTAAACCCTTAAACCCCTTGAAAAACCCAATCCCCTAAAAACCTCTTGAAGACCTAAACCCTAAATTCCAAACCCCAAACGCTAAGCCCCTTGAAGCCCTAAAAGCCTGAAAGAGTTAGGCGACACCTTGCCCCAAAAATTTATGGAACCATTTCGCCAACTCGGCGGCCAAATATCAAGCCTAAAATCCCCGAAAACCCATATTCCCGAAATCCTTAGCCAAAATATCAAGCCAAAAATCACCGAAAACCCATATTCCTAAAATCCCAAGCCAAAAAATCCTGAAACCAAATCCCCGTTATTCCTTAGCCCAAATCCCAAGCCCAAAAGCCTATTCCCAAAATCCCCGTTATTCCTTAGCCCAAATCCCAAGCCAAAAAATCACAGTAAACTATTTTACTAAAATTTATCTTAAAATATTGGTAAAATATTTTCCCTAAATTCCCCGTAAAATGCCAAACCAAATCCCTCTAATACGCTTAACCATAAACCATAAACCCACGAATAACAATAAGCCTTATGTGGGGCAAGGTGTCCCTTTAATGAAATTTAATATTATAAATGTGCTATAATATTAATTTTCTGGGTCGTAAATCAAACCTCTGTAATATTGGTGTATATTATCTGTTGTGTGCTTAATACCGCTTTGTTTTAACAGTTCTTTCTCAAACTGCTCTATTGACAATGTCTTATACCCTAATTTATTTGACCATTTACAATATTTACCAAACATATCGCATTTTTCAACAACATTACTTTCATTAGACACTAAGTAGTTTTCACTGACAAAGTTATATACACCACAACATGGTGTCTCGAACATCTGTAATCTACTTGTTATTAGCAACATTCCTTTAAGCCGTTTTGGGTAATGATAAATACACGTTTAAAGGTATGTTATGTTATACCGTGAATCATGGGAAGTTATATATCCACCCGACAAACAACAACACAACCTTTAATAAATCCTTCTGCTAAAATAAAAAATCCTAAACCTATACATGTTCATCCTAAATTCTCATTAGGTATTTACCGTGGATAACCCCGAACTGTATAGAGACCACTCATGTGAAGTAATATTTAAATATGTTGTAAACGATGAAGTTTGTAAGGACATACGGGACAAGGTAATATATTGAATGGAGTTTCGCATTATACCGAGTGGTATTTAAGAACATATATACCCGTTGAAAACGAGGATAAAGATAATTGGTTTGTATTCAAAACCGCACTCAGCGAACTCGAAGAAACAATAGCCATTTATAAATTCATGACTTTTCATATCATATTTATTCCTGATGTGTTTTAATATTATCAAATAATATTAAATCGCATCTCATTCGCCATCTTTAGCGGGTGCTTTAAATTGGTATTTCTCTTCTTCTTTATTAAACTAAATATCATAATATTTTAATGTTTCTTCTTTTGGGACTTTGATTTCGCCCTTGTTCAGTCTTTCCATGTAAGTTTTCCTTTTCTTGCTCCAATCGCTTTTCTCGCCTTTATCAACTGGTGTTGTTGTTGTGCTCTTTTCGTAAGTGGTTGGTTTCTTAACAGTATCTTTATCCTTAACTAACTGTTGAACAATTCCCAAAATCTCACTAATTTCTAATTGTGACATATTGTGATTTTCAATAATAGTATTGTAAATCTCATCCGTGCTCACCTTACCCTCGGTCATATACGTTATTACGTATTCTACCCTTTAAATGCATATAATCCCCTCAATATCGGCATCGCTCAAAGGTTCCTTGACGTGTTGAATACACCACCCCTTCGGTTTCAAGCGTTCAATTATATTTTTAATCTGTGCTTCGTTCTGTGGCTTTCTTAAATCAATCTGTGCCCAGATGAATTTAAATGTTTCGGGTTCATACTTCAATAATCTTTGTTCCCATCCTAAAGTTGTCCAACAATCTAAATCAATACCTGTAGCATAATAAACGCACTTGTCAGCCACTTTTTGAATACTCATTTTGTTCTGGTAAATGTTTAGAAGTTTTCCCATATAAAATATTTGTTAAATGTTTTCCCCGACATCTAACGCACGTTTTGCACACTTTACTGTAACAACCGATAAAATACGATTTAGGAACAAAACAACGACAGTATTTACAAAATCCGATGTCTTGATTATAACCTTCGTTTGGTTTGTTTGTTAGTTTAAATTCTACTATATTGTTCATATTAACAATAATAACATTTATTATTATTGAAATCCATAGGGGAAAAACAAATTAAGCAACTGCTTATGAGATGCTATGGAACGTGACGCACTACTTCCCTTTCATGTGGACGTTCAACGTGAAACAATGGGGCTCTGTGCTTGGGGGCAACTGTCATAATCTAATAAAAGCATGTCTTTAATATTAACCCATACTATTTAATTTCAAGTTCTTCTTTAGTTCCTCTACTTCTTTTTCTAATATTTCTATTCTTTGTTCTGGCGTTGGTTCTCGTGAATCAAAACCTGTATTTACTGTATCAACATCTTCATTATCTTTCATATTTGTTTTGAAAATAGCGTTTCCATCGGGCGTAGTATTCCTGCCAACTTTCCAACTACTCCGATTCTCAACCTGATTAACTACGACATTGCCCTGTTTATCTGTTGTTGTCTTAGTTTGTTTATATAACGCCTTTTTACCACACTTGCAAAAATTACAATCAACACTACTATTATCAATATGAAACCCTCCGTTATTTCCTTCCATTAATATGATTTAGATTTTTCATACTCTTAAGATAATAGCAAACTGATTTCAAGAACTCTAACACACTACGACAACACCTTCTATATCTCGGTGCTTTTATTACTTGGTCTAATTTCTCGAACTCGTCAATAACTTCTATATAATCTTTAGAATCGTTCATATTAAATAACGATAAAAAATTTCTATGTATTAATAATAATGTCAAACATTCCAATAGTTAAACCTGTTAATGTCAAAGAATACGAGTTCAAACAATCCAAATATGAAGTAGCCCCAAGATTACCTTTTAGTCAAATAATAACTGGACTTTCTGGAAGCGGTAAAGGTATTTTATTACAGTCAATGATATTAGACATTTATAAGGACGTCTTCGCGAGAATATGTGTATGGAGCCCTTCAGTTTCAGTTGATGCTAATTGGCTTCCTGTTAAAAGATATCTTCAAAACGAATTGAAGGTGGATTTGGAAAAAGAAAAGGATTTCTTTGATGAATACAAACCCTCGGAAT